CAAATTAACTTCAAACCTCCTGATAGCTCACAGTGACACATTTCCAAGTGGTCACATGACCCTGAAGCTCCAGTTGAATGAAGCACATGTTCTCGACTTACCAACATGTGTCTGTTTTACTTCTTGTTCTGGCACACTGGCCAAGTTTCTGTTTCTTCGGCTGTTGTAGCCTACAATAAAAAAATACTCAATATGGAGGTAGAAGGCTAAAATGAAGAGGCCACCTAGTGATACGCCGACTAAAATGGATGTAGCTTAATTTCCTCTACAGCACGTTTCAGAGAGTTGCAGTTGCAGGTTAGAAATTTTCAAACAGTCAACAGCATCAGCTGACTCACTGTTGTGAAATTGTCTCTTATCCATAGAGCTCAAGGTTGTTCACTGTGGCTCAATCAGTCCTCTTTCCACAGCGTTCTGGCTGCACCATTATCATTCTGCTGCAGGGGAAAAAAACATCCTGGCTTGTTTACATTTCTTTAAAGGAGCTATTTTTACGTTTTGCTTTTGCTACATAGCTAACGTTTACTTTAACAGTTGTTTACTTATCAGTCTTGCCGAGAACTTTGGTTATTGTTGCATTTACAAGATGTTAATAATATGTCCCCTGACCAGTGGTACTTCTTCAGGGCAGCCAACTGGGCCAGAGCTAGTTGGTTAGCATGCCAACTTCAGTAGAAGAAAAGAAGTGATAAAAATAGAAGCAAAAAGATAGGGTTCCTTTCCACCTTTGGAGACAGCTGTTGGTGAGTAAAGGAATGAAGTTTGATGCTGAACTCAAAGTGTTTCTTCTAGACTGGTAAGTAAACAGCTGTCAATGCTAACTGTAGCTATGTAGCAATAGCAAAACTTACAAATACTCCTTTAAACCAATCACATCTTGGGCAGCACTGAGCCCAGGAAGCAGCGACTGCGCAGGGGAGGGGAACTTGTTTTGGGGGAATATTTGCACGTCGGGAAGTGAGCACTGTCACTGCGAAGAAAACGCCACAAAAAAACAGCAACTGTGTGATTCATCAAAACATCTCGGAGGTTGTTGATGTTTCCTGTAACGAAGGGGATTTTGAAAATGGCAACAAAGCTGAAATAGATGCCAGATGGCAGGTTTATATCTACAACCTACATCTGGTGAGTCAGACCACAGGGCCAGTTGCTATCTGTCCTGCCCTGTCCTTCACTCTGCACCCTTGTGTGCTTCTTCACTGGAAGTCACCTGACAGCTGAACACTGTGGATGTCATGCTGGAGCTCGTCCTTGGTGGAGTAAGAGGCGAATCCTCCTTTTTACTGTCTAACACAAATCAATAGGGACTTTAAGCAGCGATGGTTGAAGGGACAGCTACGGCACCCATATTCATTCCAATGCGTTGTCATAGTAATGGAAATCAAAGATCACAATGACAGCTAACAACGGCTACTTCACTACTTCAGGAAACCAAGGTCGCTCTGAACATTGCTACAGTATGTATCTTAAAATGACCCCAGAGCTCTTAATATTTGCTTTAGAGACTATTTAATATCATATGAGAAGTTTGTATAAATGTGTTACTTCAGCACCACGGACAGCGTCATGGTTTCAGCACAATGAGGTTGTGGGCTGGAGAGGGACGATGGAGGTGAACAACATTTTGTATATATATATTTTTTTCTTTGTTAACACAGGTTAGCATCCCCCAAAGCCTCCAAACCACCAACTGGAACGTCAGCCTGGCTCGCTACTTACTGTGGTCGCCTATCAGCATCTTCAGCGCATCTTTAACAAATATACTAATAATCCATAAAGCTAACAGTATTATTGAATATAAACAAAATGACAGTGTCAAATATGACAAAAACGTATAATTACCTGCTAACTCTTTAACGTATCACAGGTCAAATAGTCTTTCTCCTGTAGTAGACAGTCGGGCTGCATCAGTAGGAAGTGTCGACATTGAATCTACGTCATTACATCATGTTGTAGCTGTCACTTCAACCGTCGCTAATACCTGTGTGTCTACTACACATCTAGTGGTCATGTGTTTACACTGTGACTTTGCAGAGAGATTGGAAGCACAGTGAAAGTCCAGTGTTTATATTATGTGTTAATATTTGTATTCAACATCCTAAAACCCTATAAAACATTATGTAATATGGCTCAAAATGGCTGTATGACTGTACAAGCAATGACCCTGATCACAGTGGGATCATTAGAGGACAAGAAATTCCCTCTGCAGCCTTGTTGCTGTACCAGTTTTTATTCCCAACTTTCAGTGACTGATCAAGGTCACAGAGAGCGAGTAAATGTCTTGTCCACCTCCCAGTCACTGCATCATGAGCGGGCGGCAGCACGCCACTGAGATGTGAGCCATCCGTTTGTCTGAGTGCAGGTAGCTCATTCAGGCGAAGCGGACACACAGTGTGCTGTCGTTCCCTGTGGGAGCGGACCGGCCAGCTGACCTTCAGGTAGAGGATCACCGCCGCTGACACCCACTGGCACAAACGCCAAGATGAGAGCGAGAGACACAGACAGAGAGAGAGAAGACCTCATCACTGCAGTCGAGATGAAAAATTCCCAGACACGTTTGATGCAGAGCATCCCCAGGCTTTCAGCAACTCAAACCATTTCCCCAAGGCCATGGAGGCTGCTCACAGAACAGAAAAAGAGCCGATGATGATGATGGCCACCTGCAAAGTAAGAAACACAGCGGAGCATAATTTAAATGGATTTGGGATGCCACAGCATGTAGAGAGCCATGTAAAAATGCTAACACAAACAACAGCTGCGATACAAAATGGCGCGCAGCTTCTGCTCTCCCCCCGCTACATAATGCATGGCTAACAAGACAAATGTCCCTGCGTTTTTTTCCCATGAATTATGCATGGATCCTGCACTGTTTCTAAACAACAGATGAGCGTTTTATCTGTGGAGGGATCACCTGGTGGAGCTGCTACTGAATGCCATGATGGAGTTGTGAAATCAGGCAGGGAGGGCCTTACCCCCCCGCCTCGTGCACCACTAACTCTATTCAGACACACCTCTGCGTTTCTGCACAGCTCAACTTTGAATGAATCAACAACATGTGGCTGGAAAGAAAAAGTTTGAAAACACAGCCACATAAATGAACCAAGATAAGAAGTAATGCATTGAGGATTCAGTGGTGTAGACTGTGCTTAACACTGGTGAGAAACATCAGTTACATTATTGGAAATAACAAGATACCAGTAACACTTATCATTGTCATGTATATGTTGTTCTTCCCCTCCATCATCTCATCATCTGCAGCAGATTGTTCAGGTTTATTGATCCTATTTGATTTGTCAGAGATCTTATACTGAGACTCCAAATCTAAATATTAGATATTAGGGATATTAGGGCACACTGGTGGCTCACCTGGTGGCTCACCTGGTACCTTGGTGCATGTCATCCCCTCTCTCTCTCCCTGAGTTTCCAGTCTCTCTCTCTCTGCAACTATCAGAATAATTATAAGGACCACACCAACATCTTGGAGATTCACATTGTCTCAGGTGGGCAGGGTTGTCCTGGGGGAATTTGGACTAATGACCTCAGTTATTCTAAAATCATTGGCTAAGGCTCAGGTCAACATTCCTACTGATTATTGTCTCATATTATTATTATTTGGAAGAGAAAATTAAGGAGAATCACTCAAGCATCCATCACAGTTCACATCATTATCATAGTAGTTATCATAACTTAGAAATTATGACTAATGCCGACCACAGACTAGAGGACTGTAAAGACTGAGGATCTTGAGACTAGATTTCTTTGACATTATTTGCCATCATGCTCCTGGTGGAAATTTACATGAAGGAAAACTGTTTTTTTTCCAGACTTTTTTTCAACATTATTATTGTTTTTATGATTTCCTGTTTTATTTTGAAATTATTTTAAATCCCTCATGTATTTAACACCAGTCTTACACCAAACCAATCACATTCTTGGTCCTCCCTGGAGTCTCCTCCACGCTCACTATCGGCTCAGTTTGCTGCTTCCTGTTTGCTGCTGGTGAAGTCGACAGTGTTCACGTCATTGAACGTCACTGTCTTGAGCCGAGACTAAAATCTACAATAATAAATCATAATAAATATTAAACATGCTTGATTTTATCAGAACATCAACACAAAAAACGGAGTGACTGAAGACTCGGATGATCACCTGACACCAAACCATCCAGACGGTGGGAGCCAAACTCTCATGATTTTATTCTGACATTGGAAATTGTGGACATTGTGAAATGGTTTGAAAAGTTGTTTTTTGGTGTGCGGCTGACATAAAGCTATAAACTGTCTTTTAAGGATTTTCTGGTGAGATGTTAGTGTATGTAAGGTGATTGTGTTACTGTGGTATCAGGTGTATGTGATAATTCAGGACTCTGACCGACATCTTGATGAAATAATGAACCAGGTTCGTCTCTTCACTTGAGAGCGTCCTCTACAAATGCGTCTGGGTTTGAGGCGGCTGCACTGATTAATGGAACAGGAATCCTTTCAGAGCCATTTGTGATTGTGAAAATACCCCCCCCCCATTTTAATTTTCGCTATATTTTAGCAAGATGTGATGGAATAACAAAAGATCCTGCAAGGGCAATTTGCAATGGCTGAAGAGAACAATTTTGTTCAGCAAATTAGCCCCTCATTTGAGACGTTGCCTCAGAGGCTGATGGAAAATGACAGAAATGGTCTTGTGTGAGGATATCTCCCTCAGAGCAAATTTAAAAGAGAAACACATATCTACCTTTAGCGTGTCCTCAGAATACATCCTTTTGACTGTGTGTGTGACCAAAGACCTTAAAGAGGTGTCATGCCGTGCATGTGTCCTCACACAAGTTTTGATTGTCTTTCTTGGCAACCTTTGAAATTCACATTGACAGGCACCAATTTTCTGTCATCTGTTTCTTTGAGAGGAATGATTACTATGTATGTTGAGAATGATTTTCAGTGATATATGACCACTCACTCTCTCTCGCTCTGTCTTTGTTTTTCTCTATTCTTCTGTCTTTCTTCCAGTGGCCATTATGTTGAAGGATGATTACTTTGTCCGGGGAGCAGGACTACCAGGGAGATTCAAGGCAGAGAAAGTGGAGTTTCACTGGGGTCCAAGCAACGGATCTGAGGGCTCCGAGCACAGCATCAACAGCCGGCGTTACCCTGTGGAGGCAAGCTCAATCTCCCAAGCCTTGACATATACATTAATGAACCATATCTGAAAGCCAGTAGACAAATATCTTTGATAAGGGTGGAGATATTGATGTAGATCTTCTCGCTTACTGGAAAGAGAACCATACACAGCATATAGTGGTCATTAGAGGAACTGCATCTTAGAACAGCTGCATATTAGCTTCAACAGGCCTGGTAGAGTCAAGTCCTCACATACAAAATGAGCCCATTAAGACAACAGGTGTTGCAGGTGAATATATGTCAGTTACACTGAGCCTGATTTGAGCACTGACACACACCCTGTTCAGACCATAGACTGTAAATAAAGATAGACGTAGCCTCCGTGACATCATCCACAGGTTTCGGAAGAGCGGTTTTGAAGCTCAGAGTGAGCTGCTCCACTGTCACCATCTTGGCAGTGCCTGACTCGGCCTAACTCATAATGCATTTGCTCACCAACCTGTCACTCAAAGAGGCCACGCCCTCAATTCTACATAACTTTAAGCTTTAATGAAATGTAAACAGGTGAGTTATATAAACAGGTGTCATGAAGGAGGAAATTAGCTCTAGAGACCAAAACAGTTTTTGTACCAGGCTGTAAACATGTTTATTTCTGCTGTAAAGTTGGACATTTTAACATGGGAGTCTATGGGGACTGACTCACTGTTGGAGCCAGACTCTAGTGGTCATTAGAGGAACTGCAGTTTTTTGGTACTTTATTGTTGGCTTCATTAGTACCTCAGTTCTCATCTGGCATTCCCCACTTTAAATGCATATAAACACGTATGTGTTGTTGTTTTTATCTGACAGAAGGGTCCATCAATGTGTGTGAGAGAGAGAGAGACATTAGCCATTTTAATTAGTAGAATATCTATAGTTCATGATGAAACTGCGTTGGGACTAATCAGACTGTGACAGAGGACGTCAGTAGAGTAGTTGGTCCTTCAGTGTGGCCCAGGACACAGTCACGTTCACACTGCTAAAAGAATGAGGACACATGTGGTCCAGACCTCCTCTGAATGTGGTCTGAATGATCGGATCTTAAATGTGTCCTCATTGCGTCTCGGGTGTGTTCACACCTGAACTTAGAGCTGTCCACTTGTGATCAGATCACCTGAGACTGATGTTAATACAGTTGTGAACAGGACCCCCCAACAGGCTGTAAACGTGTCATAAATTTCAGCTGAATCTGTCTGCTAGTTTTCATGTAAGTCAGAAAACAGACATATATATAATACACCACAGTGTAGCAGCCAACATGTGTAGATTCTTAACGACAAACACCAAGCGTGGAGCTGTGTTTTACTGCAACTCATGTAGCTTATTAGACTAGTGCCAGATATGGCCAATGACAGAATATGAAACTATATGTATCTCACCTTATCAGTCTCTGATTTAGCAGCAGGGAATGACTTTAGTTTGGGCTGACAGGCTGAGGTCCGTGGATGGATCCGGCCTCTGGGTTAATGAACAGGTGAGCTGACTGTCGGTTTGGAGATTGGCAGCACCTCTAGGACCTTTGAGAATGCTCCTTATTTTCTTTGTGGCGCGGCCTCTCGAAACAAATTAAACCAAGAGAGCTACACACCGTTCACTCACTGGAATGGGAAAGCTGTCTGTACTGTATTTGTCTCTAGGTTCAGCCAAATGTCCTGTGTAATGGTTTCTTTACAAGAGGGAATCTTCATTTTAGTTTTTGTGCATGGGTAATAAACTATGTGATTAAGTTGGTAAAGAACGGTTTAAATATTAATATCCTGTAGCTGAGTTCAAGAAAAACATTATAGAGGTGGAATAACCCAACAGCTTTTGAATGATCTTGGCTGTGAAGAGCAGAATTTACCTCTCAGACTTGGTTTTTGGCATGAAGACTCACTCTTTTAGTGTCCAGCTTCAGCTTCCAACCAAACTTTATCCAATATGCCAAGTGTATAAAGGAGTAAGAAGTGTAAAAACGAGTGTGTGTGCCTGAGAGAGTGTGTGTATTTGCATGTTGTGTATGTGCAGCTGTCAGTCTCTTGAATACTGAAATGTCAGCCATCTCTCTGTCTGGACCTCTGCTAGAGCGCTGCCTCTGTGCGATGGCTGGCCAAACAGATGAATATGTATTGTTTGACATTTGGCAGATCAGCACGCCGACAGATCAGCTTGATAGTGTAATCTTCTCCTTTCCCTCCAACCTCTGTTTTATTTCCTCTCAAACCTTTCCACAAAGCTGCATAAAGGTGTGTTAGTGTCAGTGGATGATGCATTTATCCTCTCCACTCAGTTTAGGAATATTACCTGTCCGCAGGTGAGGAAATCAAAGATTCTGCTGAAAACACAAAACCTGTCATATGAATGCATGACGAAGCTCTCTGGCTCTGAGTTTTACAATTGCCAGATGTATAATCTGCCATCACAACGGATTCAGCTGTGAGACATCAGCAAGGAAAAAATGCACTTTTATGAAGTTCCAGTAAAAATCAAGGCAGTTTTCTCATATTGACTCAGTCAACTGTACACACACACACACACACACACACACACACACACACACAAAAACTATGGGGGGGAGTGAAGGAACGCATAGGATGAGACACACGTACATATACTATTTACTAAAAGTCTTGTATGTGTGTTTGTGTGTGTGTGCGCGCGTCTGTGTGTAATTAGTACAACTGGGCAATGCAGACATGTGTGCACATGTGACTCCTAACACACAGTCACAGAGACAAACTACCAGCAGCAGCAGAGCTGTAACTGTAGCTATAGCTTAGCCATAAAACAGTTGTTTCTGGTTAAACAAAAAGGTCTGTCTCTGTAGGAGTCCTTTCCATAATGTTGTAAGACTCTTATTTTAACAATCTGATCCCTTCAGTGGCAAAAGCAAGCAATTTAGTGGAGGTACTGTCCTGTGCCAGATTCAGGATTGGCAGTGAGGCTCTGCTGAGATAACTGTTTTAAGGCCACAATTGACCCTGACATTTCTGCAGTGAATCTGTAGAGAGACAAGATTTTTATGAAGGTAAATATGTTGCTAAACGTAAGAACTTGTTGAGTACGATGTATATGGGGGAAAACCAATCAGAAATCAGAAGACAGAGTTAGATTAGCTGCGGCACCAAGTCGGGATCAGTTTTGTTTTGGCAGATTTGTGCTGTGATTAAGGAGGATATATACACACGCCACCAAAACCTACAACATGTAGTAAAATGAGTGTGAATGCACACTGTGGCTAATGTTTACTATGTTAGACAAGTAGCTGTTTAGCATAAATACTCTGATCAATATTCAGATGCAGGATTTTTCCATCACAGTTAATCCCCGTTCCCTCCGTGCCTATTTAGCTACTGCAAACCTGGACACCTCTAACATCTGGACAACATGTGTCGCAGGTAATCTCCCAAGAACCAGAGGTTCAGGTTCTGATCTGAGTCACACCACATCATGTTTTTGATTGAATGTCCCTGCAAAAGCTGCTTTCTAAATTTGACTCAGTGAATATCAAAATGTAATATAGGATTATAATAATAATATAATTAAAAAGAACAAGAATAATTTCATAAAACGGAACTGTCAAGTAACTAATTATTTGTTAAGATGGTTCCTAGATGCTATTTGTAGATGCATTATATTAATAATGCTGTATAGATGAAGTTAATTCAGTCCATGTAACATCCAGTATAAACTAAATGAGTCTGTTACTCAGTACACAGGCGACATGCTGTTAGAATTTATCTGTCTGCTTTGTAAATTACAGGGAAGTGAACACATAAACAAATATGGAGACTCGAATTTACAATAATAGATGAAAGTGGTCACATGGATCTCTATCTCTATGTCTGGTCAGAGACAGACAGTTTTTTCTATGTAGATTCAAACTACTGCTCGGTCCCTACTGACACAGAGTGTTTTCGTGATAAGGTTAAAAGTCCATTAGATCCTCAACTGATACAACATTAAACAATTCAATAATAGTCCAAGAAATGTAATTCATTCTCTCATTGTATCTTGTTTTAAGTTGCTTCATTTCCTGTTCTTTCCAGGAAGATAACAAGGAAATTAAGGGTAAATTACAGCATTTGTAACATTAAGAATATATATGGGTCTGAACTAGTAATGAAATGTGATCTATTGATTTGTGTACATGGACCGAAATTTTCCTCTTTTTGTGACGGTAAAGTGTCCACCTGTAATGACTCCAGCTTTATGAAACTGTTATTTGGTTCTGTTCAGACTGTCACAGCTCTTGGTTCAGGCTCAGGTTCAGGAAAGATCCTGGTCTGGTTCACTGAACCAAAGAACATCTGTAGCCTAAACCACGGACTGGTCTCTGGATGTGAATGAGGGGCTGGTTAAACTTAAATTGACATAAAGCAATTACATTGTTGCAACCAAAGTTCACCATGGCAAAGCTCCCGTCAAAACAACGGGAGGATGACATAACAGGTATCACAAGTGCTAATGGCAGCAAATCAACAGTCGCCATGGAAATAGTAGAAATTTACCCCTGTAAAATCTCTTTCATTGCTGTAAATTTCTTAACTTTTTTTCCATAACTAAGGAAACTAGCTTTGTCATTCAGTGGATTACACTGTGATACTTTGTGAATACACGGATGTTCTACTGTGCATTAATTATATTAAATACATACTGTGCTCCTATGTTTGTGTGAGCACGCTTATGTATTTTTTAATGCATCAGTCCTTAGTGATGAAAGTTGTTAGCTGAATGAATAGGATCCATAATGCATGCAACAAAAATTGAACTTTATTTTGGTAGTTTTATCATCTGTTTTAAATTAGACTTTAACCAAACTGAAAACATGTCTAACACACCCTTGTCTATCTTACTTGTATATGCACAGAGCAGGAGAAATGACAATTATGAGGCTGTGAAGCTCTCAGCATGGTCTCTGATGCTGGTTCCTGCAGCCACAGCTTCAGCAGTGAGATATGGACACGGTGTGATTGCTCTCCAGCCCCTGGTTCAACCTTATTGCACAATGATATGTCCG